CTCTCTCTCTCTCCTCGTCCCTCCTCCTCCTCCTCCTCCTCCCCCTCCTCCTCCTCCTCCTCCTCCTCCTCCTCCTCCCTCCTTCCTACCTCATTCTCTCTCTCTCTCTCTCTCTCTCTCTCTCTCTCTCTCTCTCCTCACTCTCTCTCTCTTTCTCTTTCTCTCTCTCTCTCTCTCTCTCTCCTCACTCTCTCTCCCACTCTCTTTCTTGATCAGCCGAGACATGCATCTAATCCTCCAGGAGGGGACCCGAGTTGGGAGGGCCGGGCACATTAGGGACATGGGGTCCTTTTCTGCTGATGTATCGAACCAAGCCGCCCAGATTTCTTTTCCCGAATGCAAAGACGGAGGCCTAAGTGAGGCCACGTCTTCACAGTGTCATTAGGATTAGGGGGTCTTTCGGTCTCGATGATTTCTCTCCCTCCACAACCACATTCAAAACACCCAGCCGTTTTTACGGTCTCCAGCCCCCCCTCCTCCTCCTCTTCCTCCTCCTCCTCCACCTCATCCAGCTTCGAAGACCTCCCCCTCGCTCTCTCTCTCACTCTCTCCCCCTCCACAAAAACATTAAACACACCCAGGCCTTTTATACGGTCTCCAGCCCCTCCTCCTCATTCGGTGGCAACTCATGGGGGCCTCCAATACCATCTTGTCGGCTCTTGCGAATCGACGCTAATCGACGCTAAACCGACGCTGATCGACGCTACATCGACGCTACATCGACACTAAATCGGCGCTACCTCGTCGACTCCCAGGCGCCACGACGCGAATCGACGGAACTGAGAGGGTTATACTACAGACGGAATTGAGGGGGTACACCAGGCTCCCATGATTTGCTGCCGAATCCTCCTCCTCCTTCAACTTCGAAGACCTCCCCGTCACCGCCCCCTCTTGGCTTCTCTCGGGGAGACGTAAGACTCGGGTCCGGGGGACTCAGGTTGGCCTGACGGGACCATCATGAAAATGACGAGGCCCAATCTGAAATCTGCCGCGAACTCTCGCTGCAAACATCCCACGAAAACCAGACCGTCAAAATCCAGGACGCGCTCGTCAAAAAGGCGGAGGCAAACCCGAGTTCTGGTGTACTCGAGTCTTACGTTTCCCCGATTCCCTCTGTGGACATGTTGCGGACCTGGAGGAATCACAAACCACGTAAACATAAACTTTTGGAGGTCCATGCGGAGACTTCTTGGAACCGCACCGAACCCCCTCCCCCCGGCGGCGCCAGAGGCGCTGCCGGGGGGCCCAGCGCGGATCCAAGAAATCCGCGCGGAGCGCCAACAGTTTACGTGTACGGCGTTTTTCTTCCTTATTCTTCGAAGAGAGAGAGAGAGAGAGAGAGAGAGAAAGAGAGACAGAGACAGAGAGAGAGAGAGAGCAGGAAAGAGAGAGAGAGAGAGAGATACCCGATACAAAAACATCTCCGAATACTGTAGTTCACATCAACTTTGCGTGGTTCGGGCGCCGGGGAGAAGCCGTGTCAAGGGCCTCGCGTCCTCGCGCACGGGGCGCCGAACCTCTGACCATGGCGTTTGTCCTTCTTCGGCTTGCGCTCCCCCGGTTCCCCCCCCCTCTGTGAACAATGCGCCTGCCGTTCTTCCTGGCCTCGACGCGGTGCCCCGCTCGAGGTCCCCTGACTGTAAGCCCCTCTGCCTCGCGTGGGCGGCGCGGGCGCGCCGTCATCTGACGCACGCCCTCCGCAGCACGCCCTCGGTGGCAGCTCACGGGAGCCTCCGCAGTACAGCGGAGGACCGACCACAAGAAGCACCTTCGACAGGAAACCCAAACCCTCAGACCCCAGGACGTCCATGGATTTCTGGTGTGGGATCGTCGCGCTCTCCACAGCAAGGCCATCCAAACCAAGGAACCAAGGGCACCCTGAAGGCAAGCAGGATGTTCCTTGGCATGGGCCTCCACTGCACCATCTTGTCGGCTCTTGCGTATCGACGCTCGTCGACGCTAAATCGGCGCGAATCGACGCCGAATCGACGCCAATCGACGCTGACCGACGCTGCATCGGCGCTAGCCCATGGACTCCCAGACGCCAATCGGCGCGAGTCGACGCTGAAGAGACGGAATTCAGAGGGTATACCAGGCTCCCATGATTTGCCCCCGAAAGCGCGCGCCGCCAGACAGCCGCAAGCGGCGCGCAAAAGACCGTGCCCGCGAGCGCCTCCAGCTCATGCGACGGGGTCCGACGGACGGCTGGCGGGGCGCCGCAGAAGAACTATGGAGGAGGGGCAACGATAAGGGGGCACTGGCATAGGGGGCACTGCATCGACCAGGAATCGGCGCTACATCGCCGATAGACCCGCGACGGGCCTCCGATCGTGAATCCGCACCTCCCCGGACAGCTTGGGGCTGTCGGGCCCCTATCGGCGATCAGTGGGCGATTGGGGGTTGAGGCATCGCCCCCTGTGCCTATCCCCCCCCTATCGTTGCCCCTGAAGTGAGCATCGTTTCACCGATCCCCAGGCTCCCCGGTGCTCCCCATGGGCACGGCCCCGGCCTCACTGGCCGACTCGCCCCCCCCCCCCTGGGCGGGGCAATCTGCCGTGACATTCCCCTGGCTTCGCGGGGCCGGTCCTCACCGTGGGGCTGATGGGGGCCGAGGTGCCCATGGCCCAGCGGGGACAGGATCGGTTAGACAATGCTGATGTGTGGGCGACGGGCGCACCAGAGTAAAATTTCCAAAACCAGCCACCTGAGCACAATTCTGTGCTCAGCCGTCTAAGCAATCGTCTCGAGCGCCCCTCCGGTCCGTCCCCCGGCGGAGGGGAGCAGGAGGAGAAGGCCACAGGAAGTGGATCGAGGCGGCGAGAGGGAGGAGAAGAAGGCGAGGCCCCTAGAGAATCATACGAGGAAGGAACCAAACAAGGCGGGACGGCTTGGCAAACGTTCGGTACCGCTTAACGAACCCCACCGAAGGGGGGTCGAGGTGGGGGGACACCGCGGAGGAATAACGAGGACAAGCAGGAAGAGGGGAATGACGACGGCGACTGGAACTCCAAAGATACCAACGCCGCCACTCCCATCACCACTCCAAGGGTTCGTTCTGAGCAGAACTTCTGAATTTCGAAGCGAAGAGACGAGGGCCTCACACGAGACACAGAAAGGCGTAAGTAAACGAGGCAGAGGTAGCGATATCGGAGCCTCTTCCCCCTCTGAGGCGAGGAGGAGGAGGGAGGGAAGAACGGCGTTGCAACAAAAAGTACTGCGGGAGATACCCAGGCGTCGGGGCCCATCCCGGCTGCAGCCTGCCATCGCTCGGACGTCCATGCCCAGTGCATCGCTTGGTCTCTTTCGCGCGTGTTTCCAGCTGGCCCGCTCCTCGCTCCTCGCCCCTCGCTGCTCACTCCTCGCTCCTCCTCGCTCCTCGCTCCTCGCTCCTCGGTCCTCGGTCCTCGGTCCTCGCTCCTCCTCGCTCCTCGCTCCTCGCTCCTCGCTCCTCCTCGGTCCTCGGTCCTCGGTCCTCGGTCCTCGGTCCTCGGTCCTCGGTCCTCGCTCCTGCTCCTCCTCGCCTCCTCCTCCTCCTCCTCCTCCTCCTCCTCCTCCTCCTCCTCCTCCTCCTCCCCCTCCTCCTCCCCCTCCTCGCGTGCTCGCTGGCCTTGCCGAGGCAACGGTGCACACGCCCGCGCGATGCCAAGATATAAACCCGGTGGCGCCCTCCCGCACGCGGGCGGGCGGCACGCCAGCAGCGGCGCGGCGCGCGAAGGATCCGCGCCAACAGAACTGCTCCCTGTCCACCACCTCCCTCCCACACCCCCTCCCCCCACCCCCCAGGGAAGGAGGAGAGGGATACGAGGACAGAGGAGGGAGGAGGGATCGACGTGGTGGTGGTGAATGGTCTCGGGGCCCGCGCTCTGGGCTCCAGAAGTGGGCATCAACTCCTGAGAGGTCTGCGCAAGAACGATTGGGTGCTACGAGGCCCGAAGAAGCGGCTCAGGAAGAAAATCCTGGAGGCCTCGCGCGGCAACTTGAGACCCGACTTACGTCGGATGCACGTCGGACGTACGTCGGGTTCACGTCGGATTACGTCGGAATTACGTCGAACTTACGTCGGAGTCACGCCGGAGCATCGCCGCGCGAACGTCGAGTCATAACTAGCTTACGGAGCTGACGTGTGGACTAAATAATACAACTATTGCGCGCCGCGCGAGGCCTGCAGAACTTGTCCTCATAAAGCGGCCGCTCGGCCGAATTAGGCCGAGCTGAACTCAAGATTCAGCCCGTTCGAGCAAACTTAACCGGGACTGAGCAGGAGTCAGTGGGATCGGGCCAGGTTTGGTTTTTATTCGACCGCGGATACATGGACATACCAGCGCCGATGCTGAGTGGCATTCTAATCCAGACCCCTTTCAGGTCGTCACAACCCACAGACCCAAGCGTTGCAAAACATCGAGACGGCCGGTTCTTCACTAAACAAAAACAGCGGGTCTGACGCAGACGGGCCCGCGAGGAGAAGGGCGCTAATACTTGTCACGGTTGTTGCCTGGATGCGATACCCAGCGTTGCTGAAGCGCGCGTCCTGCCCGAATCGCGGGGATGTCTCGAGCGGCAGCGCGATTTCCAAATCCGCCGACCCTGTCGGCGTGTAGAAGAGGCTGTTCCGTTTGTCTCGTCGTCGTCGTCGTCGTGGTCGTTGTCGTCGCTCGTCGTCGTCGTCGCCTTCGCCGCTCGCCTCTCCCCTTTTCCCTGGGCCCGTCGCCGTTCCCCCCACTTTCACCGGGTTCTCCTCCTCGAGCGCGCCGGCCACAACGAAATTGAGCAACGTTGTAAATGAGTCGAAGGGAAGCCCCTTCCGTTTGATCCCGTCCCCGGGTGTGAGGTCCCGGGGGGCGTCCCGGGGAGGGTCCGAGGGGGGGGCCCGGGGCGGTCCCGGGGCAGATACGACTCCCCCTCGGGCGGGTGGCGACCAAGAAAGGCCGCAAGACGCGACACAACTGCCCCAAGATGCCCCCAAAACGGTCTTCGCGGGCCCCGAATCGCCGAAGTATCGGTCCAAGTCGCCAAAGTAGCTTCCAGATGGACCAGAAGCTTCGCCTTAGGCCAAGCGCAGCTCCAGCTCTGTTGTACCGTAGCAACGATAGCCCCAGTCGGAGGAGGTCGTCGCGAGAGCGACGGGCCATCTCAATGAAGGACGCTTTCGGTCTCGATGGCAAAGAATATGCCTCGCAATGGGGCGCAGTCACATGTTGGCGGCCGGCCGCTCGAGCCCAAGCGGCCACGGACAAACACTCGCTATCTCTCGCCCTTGTCCCAACTCACTTTAGAGTCGGGGGGGGGGGAAGGAGACGAAGCGTGAGCCCGCCGCCCCTATACAGTAAACACAATCTAAACAAAAAGGCAGCAAAAGGCGGGTTCGCAAGGAGGGTGAACCCGGAAGCAAGCGCCCTTACGCGCAAGTTGCCTTGCGAGCAGATCGCTGCATAAGCGAGTGTTGCTCAGGCGGCCTCAGACGATGTTGTCTGGCCAGCACGGTACGGAGTATGACGTTGTAAGCCATGCTTGAAGGATTGCGTTCCTCCCGTGACCTGTAGGAGCATATCTCTGTCAATGCTCCCCTTTGTGTGACCGTCCGCGGTCTTAACGCGAGCGTCACACCACTGTATACTATGCACGAGCCCCGTTCCATCATCTGTCGTATTCAACTGATGTGTCCCAAAAGAGTACACACAGTCGGCTTCTCCAGGTCTTCGTTCGACAAGGACTTGCAGGCATATTCAGCATCTATGGTCAAAGTGACCTTAATGCTCAGGCCACCCATCCCCAGTAGATCCTTCAACTGAGTAAGTGTCAGTGGCCCTGCGTGGAGTTCGTGCAGAGTAACGTTCGTGGGGTAGCAGTCCTCCAAGTTGTGGGCTGCTGCTAAGTGTTTCTGTTGAGTAGCTTGAGCGGACCTGCAAGCGATGAGGCTTGCAGTACGCATCGATCAAATGAACGACAGGCTTAGCAGTTGGCGCGCTTCCGCGCCGTAGCAGGTTTGCCCCGCGAATACCAAAGCCTTTGGCCTCGTCATCGGCATCTCCACTCAGGCGTCGATAGCAGGAGTCGCTATGCAGGTCAACTTCGCCCGCTGGAGTCATCGATCAACAGACAATCTCCTTCGGGCAGGCCTGCGGCTTCCTGATCATCGCGTTCAGTCGTCGCACTTGTATATTGGTCGGTTCTTGGACACGTTGCAGAGAGACCACGTATACCATCAACCACACTTGTGTCATTAATGCGTAAGCCAACGCGCCTCTGAGGCTGGCAAACATGTCAGCGACCATCTTCGATGCTTGGGCGTCGGCGTCTGCGCCTGTGAGTTCAGGATGTTGTATGGGGCGGAGATGTTTGATGTATCCATCTTGGTTCAGTGTAACATTGCCGTCCCCATCCTTCGTGTATCGCACAGCACCATTGGTATACGTGTATTTGTTTAGTTTACACTTACCAAAAGTGTCCTCGACGCACTTGACGCACCTGTCGATGGTGTCCGCATGACAGGCCATATTGGTATCATTAACATGTTTGGCTGCGGGCAGGCTACTGCTTGTTTCGAACTCCTCGTCGGAGAACGTGGGTCTGAGAACAAAGCCTCTCGTGGTCCTTCTGAGCTTCCGTGAGAAGGCTCTGGGTGCATCATGGGTGCCGGTGCCTGGCTCGAGGCACTGCAAGCAATGCTTCGACTCATCGTTGCGCTCGAATCACGGGACGGATCGAAGCACCGATGCTGGTCCAGGTGGCATGGTAAAGCGCGCCACAAGTTCCTTTTCGCCGATTGCCTCAGCAAGTTCCTGGTCGGCCAACCCTTTCAGGAAAGCCATGATTATGTCAAGAGAAGAAATGATCCATTGCTTCTTGCACGCTGCCGCGCTTGCGAGTAATCGCTGACTTGACCGCCGCGCTGTTCCTGAGAATGTTTCCACATCGAAAGCCTCGAGGCCCATGAAACCCCGAAGTGCCTGGCGCACTCTGATGGTGCGCTCCATCTCGCCCTTTTCGTCCTTTACGAACTTCCACTTATCTACGTCCCTCGAAGTCACGATGTTTGACGCTTTGGGTGCATCTTGCACCTTGAAACACTTGTTGTCAAACCATGTATTGAGATCAGTATATAGGGCCTTTGATACCTTACCTGGGTTCGCCAGGATGTCGGCCTTCGCGTGGAGGTCGTCCTCCTTGACGACTACAAACCGTTTTGCGGCGGCGGTTGCGTGTGCTCGCATGGTGGTCACACGGTCAATGTCTAATCCTATGCTGTTGCTCGGATAGGACTACCTTTGAAATTTCTGCAGTACAGCACAGTTCTATATACTGACCTTGTTCGCCCGAGTCCAATCCGCAACTATGGTCTTCGTCCGTGGAACATAGTGGGATATGATACGTCTCCTCGATGTCGGAGTCGCGTGGGTGACCCCACGTAGGCAGGCCCCCCGCTGTTCTTCAGCCATTGTGACCAGCGCACTGTCGCCAGTGATTGTGTGGGTGGGTGCTGTGTGACGGTCATCGAATGGAGTTGCCTCGAATACTTCCCTTTCCTCATGTAGCTCTGTGTACCACACCTCCATAATGTGCCTCAAGGTCCGTCTCTGATTCTTCATAGATCGTAGATAGCCGCCCGTCCTCCTGTGGTGGTTTGCCTTCTGAGGCTTCTCTGGCGTTGTTGTCTTGTGTCGGCACGTCAGCCAGTTCCACAAACTTCGCCCTGTCTCGGTCAAAGCCCGATTGAAGTTTAGTGGGCCTTAGGCACTGAATGATGCTCGAATGTGCTGGTTAGTTATATCATATATATATATACATATATATATATGTGTTCAGGGCTATGCTTTCGGCTTCGTAGTAGTGGAAGCCTGAATTCACGTCGTTGTCAGAAAGTACCAATGTGCAGCCGTCAGCATAAGCCACCGGAGGTAGCTCGTGGATACTCTTAGCTAACCTGACAGAAACTACATTCTCGATACGAAAGAAGGTCCTGCTAAGGCAGTGCAAAGAAAAATGTACTTTAGGATATAGTCGGCTCGCACTTGTCAGCTGAACCGTGACGTGTTTGGTCGGGGCATAGCCGAACCTCATAACAGGTCTCCGCGCAGGCAGACTGGCAACATATGTCAACACTCTCCGCAGCGCAGCGCTGTCTGAACCAATCTCTCGGGCTATCAAAACTTCGATATATAGCGACCGTCGTGCGTCACCGTGACGGACTTGTACGTCGAGGTTTCCCACTCGTAGAACGACTTGACCCCTGTCGTGATCGTTCCGTACAGCCGGGAAAAGTCCATTCCAGCCTCCCCAGTCGTCCTCCGTAGTTGTGGGACGATGATAAGAGATCAAGTCTCCTTCGTCGTAGTAGTGCTGACCGGTAATGGTTGTCTTAGTACGCAATGCACGATTGGCCTTGGCCACTGCAGATGCTTGAGCGATAAATCCAATGCGCGCCCAGCGAATCACCTGTTTTCGGGAATGCTCAGATGTCTCTGTCGGCTGCTCATGGGCCAGAACAGGCAAGTCAGGAAGCATTGCTGGTTGCCGCCCAAGCAGAGCGATGCATGGAGACACCGCGCTGCAGAAGGTGAACGCATTGAAGGCAAACAGAGCTTCATGCAGCAGTCGTGTGAATACAAGAGGTATCTCTAACCTTTCGAGTTCAGTTTCCATGACGTGACGCGAAGGGCGAAATATGCCACCTCTGGCTTCAATGGTCGTTGCGCGTTGTGCACGCGCGCGCATGCTCAACTCAGTGCCTGTTTGCCTTGAGGACTGCCTTAGCAGTGTCGT